CGCAAATTATTTCTGAAATAAAACACATCCTCAAATGTTCGCTTGCTCAGTGCTGTTTGTTCCTGTCAAGTTTGCCGGTTTGTTGTTTTGTTAGCTTTCATTCTTCGCTTATTGTCTGGATGCGGGAAAGTTCCAGTTTGTCTTGCCCGAAATGCTTTTTGTTGCCCTCATTCGCTGCTTTCTATTTCCCTATCAAGAGAGTCAGTCCGTGCATCAATTTTTTTTCTGCGAAAGTGTAGCTCTCGGGTATTCGCTGCCCCTGTTTCGAAGTAACTGAGTTCCTTGCAGCTAAATTTCTGATTTTGGTGGAGAAATCCCTGTTTTATCTAAATTTCGCTTGCTGATGGTTGTTGTTATCAAAACTTGCAAAACAGAGGGATCCGCAGTGATGACTTACAATGTCAAAAATACTAAAAAAAAAATCCTAAGCTGCCTAGCTTCTGTTTCTCATGTGAAATATTTATTGCCAGCACTGTTGTAGAAAGAGCTGCCATCTTTTGTCCGCGCAAGACCATTCAACTGCTCTCGGTGCTCGTTGCTTGTTGGTTAAGCAAGCAATGCTCCAGTCTTAGCTTTTTCCTTACTGGTTTGTTTTTGAGATAGAATGAGGCGTGCGGTCGCGTTATTCCTATTCATTGCAACGATCAGCCAAATACAGTCATGCGAAGTGGACGGAAAGACTTACAAAAATGGCGAAACTTGGGTCATCCTTTCTCGTTTTTTCCAAGAAATTAATTTTTTTTGACAGTCTGAACCACACACAGAGCCCGCACGCTTGACGCAATGAAGAGAACACGGTGGGACTTTTTCCGTTCAATTTACTGCATAAAGACATTTACGTTCCCGCTCGTCCAGTGCAAGCTAATGCCTCCAAAATCAACTGTTTGTCGACTGTGACAGTGAAAATGAATTATGAATCTCAGCAAACACTTTGCTTTTAGACCGATGAACATTTCGAATTCCAATGTGTAATAACTGAAGATGAGTGGTACACGCAAGTCACTGCATGCTTTTCGTATTTAGGTGATCGAGTGGAAGTGGGCAAGGAGCTTAGGACTAAAGACGGATTAATACTCACGTAAGATTCTTGCAACAAACGTTCAAGATCATCTTGCTATGAAAAATTAATCTGTGGTAAAATTAGATGAATTTAATGGACCGAAACGTTCCAGTTCAGGGCTCCTTTTTTATTTTATTTCTTATTACATTCGTTACTATCTATTACTAAAATTCTTTGGAATAATTATCATGTTTTGACCACTTAGACTAGCTATTATAAATTATCATAGCCTAGTGAAGGGTTCTGCACTCAACAGACTTCAGTGCCGAAGGCTATGTTGTCGTTTGCAAGTTTGCATTGAGTATTTCTGCGCCCAGGTGCGGTTCTTGAGCATCATCTAGTGATAGCTGCACTCAGTTGTGGAATTGAGTCCAAGTTTGTGGGCATGAATTTAAGTAATTTGCGTTAGTGTTACCTAATTCATCATCGCTTATGTTACATTCTCTAAGCTAAGAATGCCAGTGAAATTTATTTTATTGCAGGTGCGAAAAAAGCCCCAATGGTCAAGTGAGTTTCAATCAGCGGTACGAAGGTAAATGAGAAGGTCCTCACAACATGAAACGGAACATTTTCATTGCTCACAGTCATTTGCATTGTTAATAAATAGTAATCAAAATATATTGAAGCACCACCGTGTGGACATTAGTTACATGTAAACCAACTCGCCTTTGCGCCTCATTCTTTTCAAGAATCTGCGTTCATGAGTTGTCATGGCCAGTTTCAGAGGCTGAATTATGAAGATGGCTTCAGCGACAATTTAGGATACAAAAATACATCTGACGTATTGGACTCAGACTACGACGAAAAAAATGCTTTACACTTTGCCTGGCAATTGATTACGGGCATAGGGGACTTATGTGTACGCTGGCAAGTACACACCGACGCTCTTAATTTTGAGTCTCATGTGGGAGCATGTGAAACTTTTAGTAGAAGAACTGCCAACTCGAAAATCAGAAATTTCAAACACTGACCATCAAGACGCCAAGACTCCACCAGTCAGCAGATACTGTATGCCCTCGTCGGCTTACCACTTCTGGTGCCATATATTCCACAGTACCACAAAAACTATACGTTTTGCCATCTTTTTCTATCGATTCCTTTGATAGCCCAAAATCCGTTAGGCTTATATGTCCAGCAGCATCCAAAAGGACGCTGGAAAAAAGTAACTGTTGCATTTTCTTTTGTAATACAAAAAAGCATCCGATGCACATTTCCGAAGACAAAAAAAATACTTATTTGTTACCTCCAGTCTTGATGTGTCATGTACTCATTTTAAGTGGTCCCGGTTTTAGGATGGAAATGTCGGTTTGACTCGCAACTAAAAAAACCCAATTTTTCAGTGACTTTATTTGTTTCGATAGAACAATCAGTTTTTGCATACCCAGCATCCAACCGCAAGTGCGATTATCCTGGCTATCAGCCTGGCATCCTCGATCTGACCTTTAGATTAGACATACTTCAAGAACTAAATCCTCTGGCCTTCAAGTTATTCCGTGTCATTTTTTCAGTGTTTAGAAGCTCTTTAATTACACTGTAGATTTATAAAAGTTTGCTCAAACGAAATCTTACTTCTCCGGCTTCAGATCCCTGTAAGCAATCCCCAGTGAGTGCAAATGGCCAAGTGCTAGCGTAATTTCGGCAAGATAAAACTTCACATCATCTTCGGTAAACATAAGCTGAAAATTAAAAGAACTATCGGCTAATATTTGAGTAAGAAAATTTTTAAATTTTTATCTTTAATTAGATGATCCTGTCTGAGCTGCTGAACTCTTCAGGCGATGAAACGAATGTCAGGACTGCCAGCTAAATGACCATCAGATGATATAGTATTGGTCAAAAAAAACGGAAAAATTGATAGATGCACAGCTGAAGAACCATAACACCAGTGAGAGTACAAAGTGTCATCAGTTACTGTAGTCTTAACTAGCATCACTTAATCACTGTCAAGAAAGTCAACATTCTATTTTTTGGAATTGTAGTCTTTATTTCCTATATGTACCTCAGTGGTTGGAACTTATCAGTACAAGTTTTTTTTTTTTTGCGTTTTGGAAGACATTTAGGAAGAAATATAAAGATAAGTAGTGGAAGAGCACGTGGGCAAGCAGTTTGTGTTTCACCCCATGTCTCTAAGTTGGCTTCAGTCCTCTGCTTTCTGAAATTCAAATGCGTATGATTTTTTAGTAGAAAATCGGGACCAGCAAAATCTACGTGAGAAACTCGTAAGAGTCTACTATTATATTGTTTAAGGATTTTTACACCGAAATTTTGATTGCTTTTAGTTTAAAATGTAAGAGTGCAAACCTCTTTGGAAAGACGACTGAAAAGGTCACCACCAGGCAAAAAATCAAGGATGAGATACAGTTTTCCTTCTGTTTGAAATGCTGAAATTATGAAATTCTTGAAATAAATATTACAACCCAGGTTGAAACGCACCAGGCTTGCCGGTGCGATCATGCGTTTTTGCACCAGATTTGAAGTACTCAGGTTATTAACTACGTGAATGATTGTTCCTTTACACCTACCTTTTGCGCTCACTAGCGTAAATCACCATAAATTTTTCAGAAAGCAAGTAAACAACTTCCGTTTAACGGTATTTCTTTGAAAGTAGTCTAGCTAATCAATGAGCAATTTTCCCGCCAAATCTTTCGCGTGCTCGTACGTGAGAACCACGTACACCTGAGAGCTAGATATGGTAAGTTGTAATTGGACAGGAAACACTCTCTCAAAATTTCAGCTTTCTGGCTTTCCTGGTCCCCGAGTTAGTGATTTTCCCGCCAAAACTTCCCACGGCCTTACATGAGTACCAAGCTTGGCGCTGAATTTGAAATTTTTAGCTTACACATGCACGGGGATTATCCCTACAAAAATTCAGCCCCTTACCTTATCTGGTTGCCGAGATCGCTTTCCCGCTAAAAAATTTGCATATTCTTTCAAGGCGACCGTGCACAGCACCAGGTGTGCGCGGAGGATGGTGTTAAAATGGGGAGATCGCGCATTGTCTGGGCACATGTCCCCAGACAATGCGCGATCCTTTTCTGGTTCTTGAGTTGAAAGTGGGTGACAAAAAGTGCGACGCACACACGCAGACAGCCTCTTCCCAATACGCGTTTTTGGAACTTGCATACATGCAAAAACGCTTAAAAAATGATATTACGTAATATATAATACCGTTAATAATAAACGAAGCAATAGATGATGTTCAAAAAAACAGTAAAAGTGGCTTTTTACATTATTATTGTTAAACAATTTAAACCCGGGCGAGAACTTGGAGTGTAGGAATATTCCGGTAAACTCACTTAACAGTGGACATCTACACTGGCTAGCTGGATGATTTTGACACTCCTAGTTAAAGTGAATGCGTCTCACTGCACATTTCTCAAAAGCAAATTATTAAGATGCCTTTTATGCCAGAAGTGTGCATTACTTAGTGGGAAGAAATGTCCCTGTTTAGTGACCTCTCTCCAATAGCTGTACGAAAAAACAAGGGTTCTGCAAGTAAGACCATTCAGATATATCAAGACAGTAGTCAGATTGCTGGCTCTGCGGATACTCGTTGATGAGAGAGTGTTCTTTGCATTCCTGGGCTACCTT